GCCGATGCCTCCGTCGCCTGGCTGGAGTGGCCGCGGGGGAGTCTGGAGTCGGGCGGCCGCTGGTGGGAGCCGCGGGTGCCCGGGCCGAGATTGGGGGGGCAAGGCGGGCGACAGAAGGCCGATGCCTCCGTCGCCCGGCCCTCTACAGAATCCACCCCCCAAACCTCCAGGTATTTCCCTCCTTAGAGCTGGCAACCCTACATTCCCCTCAGTGCCTGTTGGTAGGCAACTAAGCTTGGTCCTGTCACCTACTTTGGCCTTTGGGAGAAAACACATTGGGGCCAATCCTGATAGGGTTGCCAACTCCAGATGGGAAATTCCTGGAGATTTGAGGGATGGAGCCTGAAGAGGGTGAGGTTTGAGGAGGGGTGGGACCTCAGACAGGTACACTGCCATAGACTCCACCCTCCAAACCAGTCAGTCTCACATAGGGAACCATTGTTGCCAATCTCCAGGTGAGGGCTGGAGAGCACTCAGTATTACAACTGCTCTGCAGAAGGGAGGGCAGAAGTCAGCTGAAGTCAAAGGGGCAGATAATGGTAGGTTGGTGGCTAGCTGGGAAGGAGATGGGGTTGCCAACTACATGCTGACAAATTCCTGGGGATTTGAGGGGTGGAGCCTGGAGAGGGTGGGGTTTGCAGAGGGGTGGGACCTCAGACAGGTAGAATGCCATAGACTCCACCCTCCAAACCAGCCATTTTGTCCTGGGTAACAATTGCTGCCAATCTCCAGGTGAGGGCTACAGATTACTCACAATTACAACTGCTCTTCAGGTAGCAGAGATCAGTTCCTCTGGAGAAAACAGTGGACTCTGTCATTATACCCTGCTGAGGTCACCACAGCAAATTGACACTGTTTGCCCAAAGCCAGAGCACTGCCCCAGAGCCTCTTTCTAGATCCCGTTGTATTGCTTTCACAACGGGCTTTACTGCTAGTAAATCTAATAAGAAAGAAAGAAATACACTTAGGGCAAAGTTCAGCCCACGGCAGAACAGGGATTGGTTCTCCTCGCCATGACACACACACCAGAGAGGGGTGGAACCACCAGCCCCATCACCACCACTGGGGGGGGGGGGCTTGCCTGTACCTGGACGGCTCCCTGCAAACAGGAAAACGGGCAGAGCGAGGAAACGGAGCTCTGATGCAAAAGAAAATCCGAAAGGAGACTCCACCGCGCACTTTCACACCAAGCGCCGATGCAAAAGAATATCTGAGACTTTTTGAAATAGTAGAAATGGATAAGCGGAATACGTTCTTAGCGGGAAAAGCAGACAATAACTTTAACCAAAAAATGGCAAAAAGTCAATCAATGGGTTGAAGAAAATGTTTCGTCTAACCCTAACATGTTGGGAAATAAGATACACTTGGATTTTAAGTGTTCGTTGTTTTTATTATATTTTAGATGTTTATGTATGGCAGGGCTGGTGACCTTGCCCTTGTGAGCCACCCTGAGCCCATTGGGGAGGGCGGGATACAAATGTGAAAAATAAATAAATAAATAGAATAAAAATGTTATGTCCTTATGGAAAATTGAAAATAAAATTATACACACACACACACACATATATACACATACATATGTATATGTATGTATATATATATATGTATATATATACATATATATACATACACACATATATATACATATACACACACACATATACACATACATACACACACACACACACAAATACACACACACATATATACACATACATATATATATGTATATGTATATGTGTATATATATATGTATATATATACATATATATACATACACACATATATATACATATACACACACACATATACACATACATACACACACACACACACAAATACACACACACATATATACACATACATATATATATGTATATGTATATGTGTATATATATATGTATATATATACATACACACACACATATATAAATACACACACACACACACACATATATATATATACACACACACACACATATACATACATATATATATAAAGAAAACCCGAAAGGAGACTCCACCACCGCCTAGAACTTCACACCATACCACGCCTCGGCCGAAGTAGACCACACGAGTATCTGCCTGCCTGCCTGCCACTGGGCACGGGAGCTCCGCGGGCGCTTCTCGCCAGCCGCCGGTCTCTGCTCCAGGGCGCCAGGGGGCGCTGTCCCCCGCCGCGGAGGAAGGGGCCGCCGTCGGAGGCTCCGCGGTCAAAGTGCACGGGCGGGTCGTCGCGCTCGCTTGCTTGCTCGCTTGCAGTCGCTGCCCGGCGGGCGCCGCCTGGGTAGGGCTGGCCGAGCCGGGACCGGGATGGGGCTCTGCTTGCCTTGCCTGGGGGGAGCGGCTGACGACGTCGTGGAGACGCCGGACCCGGTGAGCCCGAGCTGACCCCCACCCCACCCCACCCAGCCCCCCGTGGTTGACAGCAGGGTTAGCATTTTGCTCCGGTTGGTTTGGATGTTCCCTCCAGTGTTCCCTCTAAGCTGAGTGAGTGTGAGCCTAGCTCGCAGTTTCAAACCAGAGAACCGGACCTCTAATGGCCCTCCAAGGCGCTTACATCACTGCATAGTGCAAAAGGCTGTAAGAAGGCAAAGATACGTTTGTTCAATTCGGCGACGAAACAACATCTTGAAGTGATTCCCAGCTCCCAAATGCTAGGCAGAAGGGAATGCTTTTCACTGATTGGGGGGGTGGGGTGGGGTGAGGGAGATATTTAAAACTGTACACCATTTTACAAATGAAAAATTGGGGCATGTTTGTATCAGCTTTCCTTACTAAGGATCACCCCTAAACACACAACATTGTATGTTTAGCCTCCTGCTCACACATTTTTGTCTTAGCTCAGGAAGGAGGGCTCCAGAGCAAACTCACTGATGCAGCAGCCAAATCGCCTGCTCACAACTTTAATGCCAGGAGCTCACAAAGTAGGATTTTTGCTCACAGGACTCCACAGCTGTGAGGGAACGTTAAGCTGAGCGAGTGTGAGCTAGCTCACGGTTTTTGAGCCTCCAGCTCACCCATTTTTGTCTCCGCTCGGGAAGGAGGGTTCCAGAGCAAACCAATGTATGCAGCAGCCAAATCACCTGCTCGCAACTTTAATGCCAGTCGCTCACAAAGTAGAATTTTTGCTCACAGGACTCCACAGCTGTGAGGGAACGTTAAGCTGAGCGAGTGTGAGCTAGCTCACGGTTTTTGAGCCTCCAGCTCACCCATTTTTGTCTCCGCTCGGGAAGGAGGGTTCCAGAGCAAACCAATGTATGCAGCAGCCAAATCACCTGCTCGCAACTTTAATGCCAGTCGCTCACAAAGTAGAATTTTTGCTCACAAGCTATGTTCCCTTTAAGCTGTGGCGTCTTGTGAGCAAAAATTCTATTTTGCGAGCCCCTGGCATTAAAGTGACTTGGCTGCTGCATCAATTAGTTTGCTCTGGATCTTTGACTGGGAACATATTTCTAAAGCCAAATACCAGTTAATGATCTATGGTTAATCACAATTTTATGGTGTTATTTTACACAGTACTTTCATTGTTATGCATTATTGAACTGTATAATACACGCTATTGTTTGGAACCTTGCTAACGTTTATGATTTTTGTTGATGTTAACATGTTGTAAATATTTTCAATAAACGGAATTTTTTTGGGGAAAAAAATTAGTTTGCTCTGGAGCCCTCCTTCCTGAGCGGGGACAAAAATGTGTGAACCCGAGGCTAGAAAACTGTGAGCTAGCTCACACTAACTCAGCTTAGAGGGAACACTGCTCACAAGACTCCATAGCTTAGAGGGGACATTGATTTTTGGCTCGTTTTCCTTTTTGAATTCAATAAGTCGACCTACTTGCCCTGGTTTCTCAGGCTGGCTTTCAGGTTAGGTTTCCCTTTTCTGAACTTCTTGTTGCCTGAGATGTCAAAATGTACAACACAGCATATACATTTTAAGTGGTTAAAGAGGCTCCGGGGAGCCCATCCGTGCTTAACAGCCTGACTTGGTGTCCTTTTACTTGGAAATTAATCCCATGGTGTTTATTGGGACCAGTGTTCCCTCTAAGGTGAGTGAGTGTGAGCTAGCTCAAAGTTTTTTTAGCCTCCGGCTCACACATTTTTGTCTGGGCTCAGGAAGGAGGGCACCAGAGCAAACTAATTTATGTAGGAGCCAAACCACTCGCTCACAACTCTAACGCCAGTAGCTCCCAAAGGAGAACTTTTGCTCACAAGACTCCACAGCTTAGAGGAAACATTGATTGGGACTCACTTCCAGGTAAAAAGAAGAAGAAGAAGAGACTGGATTTGTACCCCGCCCTTCACTACCCAAAGGTGTCTCAGAGCGGCTTACAAACTCCTTTTCCTTCCCCTCCCCACAACAGACACCCCTGTGAGGTAAAAGAAGAAGAAGAAGAGATTGGATTTCTACCCCGCCCTTCACTACCCAAAGGAGTCTCAGAGCGGCTGACAAACTCCTTTCCCTTCCCCTCCCCACAACAGACACCCTGTGAGGTAGGTGGGATTGAGAGAGCTCTGACAGAAACTGCTCTTTCAAGAACAGCTCTTGTCAGAACTAGGGCTTGCCCAAGGTCATCCAGCCAGGTGCAAGTGGAGGAGTGGGGAATCAAACCCAGTTCTCCCAGATTAGAGTCCGCGCACTCAACCACGACACCATACTGGTCCTATGGCTGTGTTCTTGTCTGGCTTTGTTTGGGCTCCGTAAGAATGAGAAAATAAGTGTGTTGTAAGGTCAAAGACTTCACATACTCCCCGGTTGCCAGGCATGTGTATGAAAAGAGTTGGGTGGTTTTTGCCAGAAGAAGAGTCTAGGATTCATAAGCCCTCATGGCAGACGACTACCTGCTTTAGAAATGGCAGGGTTTTTACTAAGGATTAGAGAGCTGCCGGATAGATGCATAGTTTTCTAGCATGTAACATAAGAACATAAGAGAAGCCAATGTCGAATCAGGTCAATGGCCCATCCAGTCCAACACTCTGTCACACAGTGGCCAAAAAGACCAGGTAAACAAGTATAAAGCCAACAGTCGTGATAGTCTGATCCACAATCAAACAGTCATAAGACTTATAAAGAATGCTGTTTATGTATTGCAATCTAAAGCACTACCACATGATCCTTGAACCAAGGTACATAATCAACGTCGTCTCCAGATTACATAACAACGTTTCAAAAACATGGATCTTCTTCAGGAGATATTATAGTGGTGCCAAAGCTCTCAGTTTCATAAATGTTAGACAACAAGTCTTAAGGATATTAAATTCAGATAGGACGCTGATCTCAATTAACATTCAGGCTCAAAATATGCTGCTATGTTTCTATTGGATCCCGGGCGTCTCTCTCAGACCAGGTGCCATCAGGAGGTCCAGCAGTGGAGCCAGGACAAAGAGCCCCCCCTGTGTTCCCCCCCCCCCCCAAGCACCAAAAATACAGAGCATCACCTGCCCCAGTTGTTATTAAAGGAAAGTACTGGATAATTTATTTTATTTATTTATTTTATTTCATTTATACCCCGCCCTCCCCGCATTGCGGGCTCATATAAAAAGCGAAAGGGAGACTGTCATTGCTTTTAAGCTATATATGGTTTTCTGGCACCATTCTTTGGTATGACTGCATGTGTCTATGAGAGAGCTGCATTAATGATTGAACATTTAAAACCAGCATATTGTTTAGATCATATGCATTAAGAATACGCCTTGAGAAATGATGGAGAAAAATACCTTTACTGCCATTTGTACTGACCTGCTTCTTGGATTTTAGTCTCAGGACTTGCAGTGCAATCCCATGCACAGCTGCTCCAGTCTAAGTTGTTGTTGTTGTTCAGTCGCACAGTTGAGTCCGACTCTTTGTGACCCCATGGACCACATCACGCCAGGCCCTCCTGTCTTCCGCCATCCCCGGAGTCTGCTCAATTTCGTGTTCGTTGTATCGATGACACTCTCCCCAGATGTAGTTACCCTTTCCCAATTTTCCGCTGTGGTTTGTAGTCTATTAAAAATGCAATAAAAAAATCCCGTCCAGGGGGGCCTAAAAAAGAAAAGAGAACATTGTCTAACCATCTCGTCCTTTGTCGTCCCCATCTTCTTTGACCTTCAGTCTTTCCCAGCATCAGGGTCTTCTCCAGTGAGTGCTCCCTTCTCATTGGGTGGCCAAAGTATTTGAGCTTCAGCTTCAGTATCTGGCCTTCCAGCGAACAGTCAGGGTTGATTTCTTTTAGGATTGACTGATTTGATCTTCTTGCAGTCCAAGGGACTCTCAAGAGTCTTCTCCAGCACCATGGTTCAAAAGAATCTATTCTTCGGCGCTCGGCCTTCCTTCTAGTCCAACTCTCGCAGCCATACATGACTACTGGGAATCCCATTGCTTTGACCATGCGGACTTTTGTTGGCAGGGTGAGGTCTCTACTTTTTATCATGCTGTTTAGGTTCGCCATCACTTTCCTCCCAAGGAGAAGGCGTCTTTTAATTTCATGGCTGCTGTCACAGTCTGCGGTGATCTGGGATCCCAGGAATGTAAAGTCTGTCACTACTTCCACGACTTCCCCTTCTATTTGCCAAGGAGTGATGGGGCCGGATGCCATGATCTTAGTTTTTTTGATGTTGAGCTTCAAGCCCACTTTTGCGCTCTCCTCTTTTACCCTGAGCAAGAGGCTCTTGAGGTCCTCTTCACTTTCTGCCATTAGAGTGGTATCGTCTGCATATCTGAGGCTGTTGATGTTTTTTCTGGCAATCTTAATTCTGGTTTGTAATTCATCCAGACTGGCATTTCGCATGATGTACTCTGCATATAAATTAAATAAGCAGGGTGACAATCTACATCCTTGCTGTTCTCCTTGTCCTATTCTAAACCAATCAGTTGTTCCATTTCCAGTTCTAACTGTCGCTTCGTGACCCTTATACAGGTTTCTCAGGAGACCTGTGAGGTGGTCTGGTACTCCCTTCTCTTTAAGGACTTGCCACAGTTTGTTGTGATCCACACAGTCAAAGGCTTTAGCGTAGTCAATGAAGCAGAAGTAGATGTTTTTCTGGTACTCTCTTGCTTTCTCCATAATCCAGCAAATGTTGGCAATCTGATCTCTCGTTCCCCTACCTCTTCGAAACCCAGCCTGTACTTCTGGCAGTTCTCTATCCACGTACTGTTGAAGCCTAGCTTGTAGGATCTTGAGCATGACCTTGCTAGCGTGTGAAATGAGTGCGATTGTGCGACAGCTTGAACATTCTTTGGCATTTGCGGGGAGGGCAGGGTAAAAATCCCAATAAATAAAAATAAAAATAAAAATTGCCCTTCTTTGGGATTGGAATGTATACTGACCTTTCCCCAATCCTGTGGCCACTGTTGCGTTTTCCAAATTTGCTGGCATATCGAGTGCACCACTTTAA